GAGGTGGGACCCCCCTGCCGGCTCTGCCCCCTCCCCCGGCCGCGGCCGTGCCCCTCCCGCCTGGCGTCAGCTCCGCCGCTAATGAACTGCCTAATCCTCTTGGTGACGAGGCTGGGCAGGGGATTAGCGTCTCTCCTGCTCCGCCTTTGGTGGCCATAAGGACAGCTGCTGCTTTGCCACCCCGTGTTTGCTCTGCTCAGGATTCATCCACTCGGGATTGACTTTTAACTATTACTTTTTGCCTTCAGTCGTGTTCAGGTAAGAGCCTGTGCAGCTCGCTCTCACGCCTGTGCCCCAGCTCAGGCACTGGCTACCCTGGGGACCTTTAGTCACTCAGGCTGTTCAGGAAGAAATGTAGAAGCCTTCAGAAATAAACTGAGTCGGCCTCCAGCATCCATCTCACGACACTCTGGCAGGTGATGGTGCTCATGTTCCTCCAGTGATCAGGGACTCTCTGCAGTCCTGACAGTCCCCCCCCAGGGCAGCTGGTGCCACAGAGCTCTGCCCATTGGTGCTTGTTCTGGGACAAGTGCCTGTTCCCCTGGCAGGCAGAGCCCATGGGCCCCACGGCCTCTTCACCTCACCCATCTCATGGTGCCCACCAGCGGCACCTGGGAGGCAATGGCACGACAGGGTGCCCTTAACTGTGAACCGAGCTTTTGCCATTCCACTTTCCACCCTGATCAATGTGCTGGCTCCCAGGGCCACTGCCACCGTGTCCTTATCAGAACAGGCTGTCCCTTGCTCCAGTGACAAACACTGCCCGAGGCAGCACGGGCTGCGCTCTCCTTGTCCCCGCAGCACCCGATGCCTGTCACGGGGAAAGCAGAGCTGACCGACTGCCACAAAAGCTGCCTGCACACACACAGGCTACACCAGCCCTTTGCTGTTTCTCTGCAGGTCAATGTTCTGATCAAGAAGGTACAACAGCTTTCTGTGAGGTCAAAAAGGGGCAGCAAAGACTTCTACACTCTGACGTTCAGGTCCTCTTGCAATCCTTGCTTCGGAACAGCAGCAGCAGAAACGCTGCTTTTGAACTAGGCCAAGTGATGAAAATCCATCAGCTAAAGCTTCTTTTCTCCAGAACTATGGGAAAGCGAGGCCTGTGAGGAGTTTACACCGTTTCCTAGATCTTCCACCCCCCTGTATTTAACCTCTGAAACTTAAAGCACAAGGAGAAGCAGGGCAGCTCTGCAGCTCTCCCGTTAAGCCGTGGCATCCTGACACCCCCTGCAGATCAGTGGCCGCCAGCCCCGGGCAGCAGCACCAGCTGCCAGCTGCACTGCCAACAAATACAGAGCTGCCTTCATCCCCCAACCAGGAACAGAGCGAGGGAGCACTTGGCTCCCACACACCTGCCTTTGCTCCTCGGCACTCCTCTGCTCCCACCGGAGGGAGCTGAAGAGACCCCAGAGCCCGGGAAAGGAGCCGGGGCTGAAGCGGGGGCTGCCAGGCAGGGGACGCAGCTCTGCCCATGGCACTCCTGCACTGACAGCGTTAGACAGACACAGACATGTTACAGCCCCAGTAACAAAACCAGCTTACAGCCCTGAGGAAGAGCCAAGCTCACCTCGACAGCAGCGTTGGTGTCTCACCTGGCTGCTGTGCCCAGCGCCCGGCGGCGATCCCGGCCGCTCACCCCTTATCGGCCGGCACCCTGCCAGTACCAGCAGGAGCTGACTTACATCCAAGCCCTACCTTGAAGCTGGATTAGTTGAACACAGCTGGAGATTAGTGCCTGGCAAACCTTTCAAGACTCAGTGTTATGTCTACCAGAGGAAAGAAAGCACAAAGGAAACCTCCTGAGGGTCAGGAGACAAGGAACTGCTACTATGCCAAAGTGGAAGAATTCCAGCAAAGTCCTCATAAAGCAGATGGAGAATGAAAAGCACCAGGAGCCAAATTCTGGACTGCAGAAAATGTAAGAGAGACAAACATGTAGCTTTATTGTTTATGTACAAATGACAGAAGTTTGTATTAAAAAGAGAATCCACCCAACCTTGAAGATAGCAAAGAGCAAGATGGCTTTGAGCTCCAGCCTTCCCTGCACCTAAAAGCACTGCATAAATTTTAGGGGATGGTGTTTAAAATTATAGAAGAGGGTAAACCACCTTCTCTGCTTAAGCAAGAATCAAAATGAGCAGTTCCACAAAATGAAGAACCTTCCACTCTACATGGATTAAAACAAATCAAAAGTCAGTTTCTTAACTATACATTTTGGTTTAAAAAATAAAACAAACAAAAACCAAAACAAATCTACAAAGCGAAGTATCAGCAACAAAAGTAATGTAAGTCTTACAACACGGATGGGATGTACTGAGTCACAGCCCAGTTCCAGTTGAAACAGAAGCACTTCTCCAGGGGTTTGCAGATGACAGGGGTGGCAGCAGCAAGATCAGCCAGTTTTAGGAAGTTCCCGACGGAGGTGGAAGCACAGAACAGTCAGGAATTCAGGACTACTCCTACACCTACACCTCAGTCTTCCTGCAACTCAGGTGATTAAAAATGATGCAAGGTACATGGTCCACGATTCTCTCCCCCCGTCTCAGCTCCTCAGAGTAAGTCACTGCCCTCTGCAGACACTTGGCCAGAGCTGCCATCGCTCCTTCAGTCGGTTGGCGTTTTTCTCAGTGGGGACTCGTGCAGACCTAAATCCCAGAGGCATCAGCACTGATGGGTCTAGTAGTCCTGCAGGGGAAGGAGAGCACAGGCGCGTTACCACCCTCCTACCCCCAGTTCTGCTTGCAGAGCTGGGATTCTCAGTCTTCTCTTATTTCTACATACCATTAGTTGCAGACAAAACAAAAAAAGTTTGTTTTTTTTTTCTTGTAGCTAAACATTCAAAAGAAAGGACCCTTCAAAAACCAAGAACACATCAACCAAATCCAGATGCTTTTAAAGTTCCAGATCATGACAAGATAATAGGACGCAAACCATCTTTTTTTCATAAAAAATGCACAGGACTGAACTGCAACCTAGCTTTGTAACGAGCCTGCCTGGTCTTATTTACTGTTAAATCCTTGAGACAATGCTTATTTCATACCACGATATTCCTCAACCATGAAAATAAGATCTTAAATTACAGCAGAGAGAGGCTTTGTAAGATTAGGAGTCAGTCAGCCACGCAAGTCTACAGATGAGCAATGAAAACAATGACAGAGCGCGGATACTTACGGCTCTTGGCTTTTTGTTTAACTTGAGATCAATCCTGTGGTTGGAAAGATAAGAGAAATGTCCATTTCAATACATTAAACCAACACTAGAGTTCAAAGAACCAGCTACTGCATATGGCACAGGCTACGACAAAGACTATCAGGTTAATTCAATCCACATTCTCAGTTCGGCTGAGCCAAATCATTGTCCCAGTATTACTGGGCAAGAGAGCAGCAGAGACGCAGAGTGGATTCTTTAGTATTTGCCAAAATGCATATTCCATCCACTCAAAAAAAGAGTTAATAAAGGTTCGTAGTAAAAATCACAGGGAAGTTATGCAGCATAAAGAAATAAGGTTAAATACGCATGCTCTATGTTAATTTGTTAGATGTGTAACTATGCCACAGGTAATTATTCAGACATAGTGGTAATGGTTATTTAGTAGGAACAGAGACAAGAGTTTAGGATGACAGGGATTACATGAGTCAAAGGTATAGAGTTTATTACATTTTTCCAGAAGAAAACATCCAAATCTACACTAATCTCCTTAAGAAGCAAAGCCAGAAGAATCAGTTTTTAAACTATGTTTTTAAGTTTAAAAGTTTATCTATTTAAAAATGAAATAGAAAGGTAAAGAAGAGTGAAGTTAATTTAATTTTGCTGAAGTTATTAAATAAAATGTTACCTCCATCACGCTTTTCTGTTTTTAAAAAAAACTTCCCAGCCTAACCTAATATACATACCTACAATTAAACAGATAAACTATGGGTTAGAAAGGTCTCAAAAGGCACATTGGTGTCTACACACTAACAACACAGCACAAGTACTAATTCAAGTCAAACTTACTCAAAGTCATAATCAAACATGCCAGACGGGCTGAGGGGCAGCATTTGAAAGGAAGAAAGCAATAGAAATTAATATACTAATGAATTAAATAAATTAGTTGATTAGCCACCCTAGCGAGATTACTAAAAAATAAAATAAATAATAAAGCCAGTGTTCAAATGCCACAAAGTTCTTAAGATATCTTAACCAGAATTGGGCACAAAAAGCACTCCAGATTTAGCAATCCAGAGTCCCCCTCCCCAGCTGGATTTCTAGGAAAGAGGCGTCAGACCAGAGGCAGTGGCTCTAGGGAGGGAGTTCAGGTGCTGGATAGGGAAGCTCTCGGATCCGTGAGCGCACGGGGCTCCCAGGCAGAGAGGACTGATCTGCTTGCCAAGCCCAGCGAGCGGGCGGTCAGAGCGCAGCGGCTCTGTCCGGGTTATTCTGGCAAAGCAAAGCTTGCTCAGGCAGAGGTGGGGACAAGAACACGCGGCCGGCTCTGCACCGGGGGCTATGGGAACGCACACGCAGCCCCTCGCGCTCGCCTCCTCCAGAGAGCTAGAGCACACGGCCACCCGAGGCTGCCGGCGGGCTGGTGACACCCCCCCTCCTCTTGGCACTCACACGGACACGGCCACAGCTCTGCCAGAGCCAGCGCGGGGGAGGAGCTCCCAGCTCAGCCCCACACGCCTGGCAGCGTGCAGCTTCTACACGGACCGGTACTGTTCTCTCCCAAAATACTTTTTACCCGTGAAAATTTCTAGCACACAAAGAAAATCAACATCTTTGCCCTTCTGTAGTCTTAGAGGGAACAGAGGATGGCTTCAGTAAAGACACTGTAACTTCCATCTGATCCCCTGTGTAACTGGTCAGTTAAACTGCCTGTTCACACCAGTCCTGCCCAGTCCGAATCCAGCTCTGGGTGGCACACGCGGCAGAGAATCCAGTGCAGTCACAGCCCCTTCAGGGTGCCTGTCCCCAGCACCTCCCCGTTCTTCACAACAGGTGAGCAGAACTCAAGCAAATGCTGGCAAACGGAGAGCTTCTGAACAAAGAGAAATGCCAACAGTTCTTTTTATTTCTCTTTTTCATTACATGACACTCAACAGACCCTCGGGTCTCCTCCGCAGCGCTCTAAAGCCTCCACTGAGTTCCAGCAGAGGGGCTGCTCTGTCGCTGGGCTTTTCTAACCTAGATACACTTGGAAGTTGTTTGGTCTTTTCTGCTAAAATTTAGGGGACAGTGAGTAACGGCAATCACAGTTTTAACAGAGTTTTTATTACAGACAAACTTAATTATCTTCCTGGTTTAATTATCTATTTGGCCACACTAAGCAGTGAAAAGCAGTCGGTTACTAACTTGCTGAGCCTTCCGCAGCACAGAGGTGTTGGAGGCATCTCTGGGGGTGACAAGGTGGGTGCCAGCCAGACCAGGGCTCCCCACACCCAACACTCTGTCCCTGACAGGGGCCAGCGTCGGC